CCATCACAGACCGGAAAACGTCAGAGCTGGGAGAAGTATCAGAGAGCATCAAATCCCCATTCCTTAAGCCAAGGTTGTTTGTGAACCATCTTCTCCATTTTTGGAAGATCTACACAACACCTCATTGAATGTCCTTCTTTAAATAAACACTTAAAACTTATAAAGAGTTTCCTTTTTTTATAAAGGAAACTCTATCATTATTGAAAACATGGATTTGACTGTAGCTTTACATCCATACACATATTTCTAATATGCACTAAAATAAATATGCAACAATTGGAGTTTTTTAAATGGTGATCTGTGTACCAGCCAATATACTACCCCAGATGCATGTCCACAGTGCACATTCATGGAGCATGCTATTGATTAGAGACCAATTCTACAAATTCACAAGCCAGGAATGCAACATGAATGCAGACACTTCTGCAGAATCAGGAAGGACTGGTGATTACAAACTAACACGCAGACATTGATGAAATTGATTTCCATCCTGTTTTTCCTGGGTCTGAAAAATTAGATTTAACTCCCATGGTGTGCCCATTTTCATTTCAAATTTTTTCTGGCCTTCTTTTACTTAAATAGGAATAACATGACCATTCAGGGGCAAATTCGTGAAGTGGTGGCTTGCTCCTTGAAGTGCAGAGAACTGGGGCTGCAAAAATGTAAGCCACTCAAACCCCCAGGTAGAAAAGCAGTGCCTTGGCTGCATGGAGCAGAAGCTCAGTAACTATTTGCTGAATTTCCTTAAATCTTAGTCTTCATTAGGCCAACTTGGCAAGTCTCGGCATTCTGCATCTTGTATCTTCTCTCCCTGGACTAGATGATAAATAGCTTGCATGGAGAGTGGACAGTGGGCTCTCCTTGAGAAAAGTGGTATGGCTTCAAGTAGCACTTCTCATATTTTAAGATGCATAAAAACCACCCATGAGACCTTGTTAAAAATGCAGTTTCTGACTCAGTAGGTCTGGGACCCAGCCTAGATTCTGTTTCTAAAAAACCCCCAATTGCTGCAGATGTTGCTGGTTCAGGGACCACGTCAAGAGTTTCCTGGTTTAGAGACCTTCCTGGCTCTCCTGCCAACCAGCTGTGGCCTTAGGAGGTCTCAGAACCTCTCTGGGCTTCAGTTCTTCCTCTGGATATTATTTAGGTCAACAAACATATATTGACAGCTTACTACATAACAGACTGCCCTGGGTGCTTGCTGGAAAAACAAAGATGAATAAACCAGAGGCAAGCCCCGGAGGGACTCCAGACTGAGGACTTAAAGGTCTAACTATAATATTTAAAGACCCTTTGGACTCTAAAGTTTCATGATTCACTGGCAGAAACAGAACTATAAGATCTTCATCTTCCAGAAAACATCTCTTTAAAAACTATTACATGGACCCCCCACTAACTACTATTCTCAGAATCAGAGACTATTAAATCCAGAAGTAACCCCAAGAGAAATTTAGCCCAAACTCTAACTTGCCATTTTACAAAGGAGACTAGAGAACAGAAGCAGAAAGTATTGGGTCCAGAGCAAATTACTGGTTTTCCAGCTATACTTTCAAAGGTACTGCTGTCCAATAGAAATAAAATGAGAACTACAAAATTTTAAATACGAATTTTAAAATTCTGTGGTAGCCACATTGAAGAGTAAAAAGAAACAGGTGAAATTAGTTTTAATACTACGTTAACCCAAAATGTACAAAATATTATCATTTCAACATGTAATCAATGTCATAAAATTATTGAGATATTTTGCATTCCTTTTTATTGTGCTAAGTCTTCAAAATCCAGTGTGTGTTTTACACTCACAGCAATCTAAATTTGTCCTAGCCAATTTCAAGTGCTCAGCAGACACATGTGGCTGGTGGCTACCACGCTGGACAGCACAGATTGTAGGTTATTACCCCATCCTAACCCAATTATACCTATACAGACCATTAGAATCAAGTTTCCATTGGCCAGAAGCATTGTTCCCATGAGCGGTGGCTACATTTTTATATACACTGGACCAGAAAATTAATCCTCCTACTAGAGGTATAGCTTTCAAGTTGAATAGAATTACACTTGTAGGAAGGACCTTAAACACAGCCGAATCTAACTTGACATATGATGTTACTGAAGACCAGAAGAGGCCAAATAGAGATGGCAGTCTGTCACTTAAAACCCACATCGCCACAGTTCTGTTTGTGAAATGCTCAGCACAGTGCCAGGGAAGGGTGCCTGGAAGTGCCTGAGAAATCTCAGCCACTTTCTTTCTCTCCCCCTCTCCGGGTTTTGTACCAAACCATTTTGTCCCCGGAGAAGTTGCTCAATTAAAGTGATGTAAAATTCCAAGCACATTTCGGAGGAGGAAGTGTCATTTCCAGCCTGGTAGGTGTACTTCGCTATGTAGCACTCGTTACATAAGCAGCAGCGTGACACACCTAACTGATGAACGTCTGCAGCACGCCCATGTCAGCCGGGAGAGCGACACAGGCTTTCCCTGGGAGGATAGTGGTGTGGAATTGAGGCATGTAGTCACACAAATTACTTTTGTCATCTGACGAGTAGGGCCAGTTCGCGGGTGTTATACCCAAAGTGCCTTTCTACTGCAGCACAACCTCAAGAAAAACCAGTTTCAGGAGCACCACACCTAGGATCAGATGATGCAATATGATATTAGCGTCTCATTGCATCAGTGTTTCTGATGCATGTGTCTTTTAAGCTGGCAAAAAGCATTATAATGGGGCAGGAGAAAAAAAGAAAAAGACTCACTGGCTGAAACCTAAAGGTACTGTCAGTACTGTTCCTAATTGGCCACACAAGGTGTTTGGAAAATAAACACCCAACCAACCGTCTCAGCCTGACAAGCATCAGCATGCCATTTCCTGAAGGGAACTGAATGGCATATTTAAGTGAAATTCTTTTCGGCTTGGTTCTACTTATGTTTTATATCAAAGCATCAAGATTTAATCTCTAAAATCTTTTTTAATGCAGGTTTATTAAGAAGAGGCTTTCAAAGGGTGCTTCTATTCCATCTTGACCTTTCTGAAAATCTCTGAAATGTACTAGTTGATTTCTCATTTTCCAAGTTCTTTTACATAAGGGCTCTTGGCTCCCTGGACACACAGACTTTTGTCTTTGATTAAATACCTTAGATTTGGTTTCTCTGATTAAAACTAGTTGATTTCTCATTTTCCAAGTTCTTTTACATAAGGGCTCTTGGCTCCCTGGACACACAGACTTTTGTCTTTGATTAAATACCTTAGACTTGGTTTCTCTGTCTTCATTTAGACATTTGCTGCCTCCCAAATCCTGTTTCTTGCTGTAATGAATGATATATAATGAATGAATTGCAAAAATTCAAGGATCCTATCCATCATTAGGGTGGATAAAGAAGGAACTTCCTTGGGCATTATACCTAAGGAAAGAGGAAGCAGGTGAAACTCTTTGGAAGAACAGCAGGTGATATTGAGATCAAAAATGGGGTGGGGTGGGGGAAGAGATCAGCAGGAAGAAAGCAAGCTTTTTTCCCCACTCTCAGCATGAGCCGCGAGGATCTTCTAACACTAATCATCAATGTGGTTTGCTAGGCTCTACCCACCCCAAACCCAGCCACGTTTATCCTCCCAGGAGGCGTGTCTCTTAAAATCCCTGGACTTTGTGGGTACTGCTCTCCTGCCCCCCACCCCGGCCTGGAATACTCTTCCTGCCCCTTTTCATCTGGTGAGGTTTTTGGTTTTGTTTTGGCGGCTGGCCCTATGGGGAATCTGGCGAGTGTTATTCATTCTTGAAGTCGCTCAGCTTAACCTTCCACAGCAATGCTTTCCCTGACCCTGAAATAGGATGAATTCCCTGGCCATAATATTTCTACACGATGATACCCAGGTATCACTTTCTAACGCTTATCGCACTTGTGATTACTTGTTATCTTTCCCGTCCGACTGTGCGTTCCACTAGGGCAAAAACCTTGTTCCCGAGCTGTGTCCCCACCAACTAGCACCTTGCACGTATCGGGGGGCTCCGCAGATATTTGTCAAGAAATGGAATATGCTCATCAAAACTAGCTTCCTGTGCATCAATGGCCCTCAGATCAATTACTGATCGATTCACTAATACATCAAACCTTTATGTAACTCGACCGTGTGACAGTACCTTGCTACATACTGGGGACACATCCACAGGCGAATAAAATCCAGCTTCTCTCCTCACAGGAGAAAATCATTCAAACTGTATTCATCTTTCTTTCCAATCACTCAATTAGGGCACGTCCCTTGTTGGCTGCTGTGTGAGCAAAGTAACTATTTTCCGGCGAGTGTCCTGAGGTGACCTGTCTAGACGTGCCCAGGAAAAACAATCTAACATTCTGCTAAGCCCGGAAGACGTCTGTGCCGCGCGGGATGCGCTGCGTGGAAGACACGGAGCGTGCTCGGAGGCCTGCGGAACGCGCAGGAGCAGGGAGGGCAGAGCCCGGCGGCGTGGGGCGGGCGCGAGGAGCAGACTCGGGTGGGCAGGGCCGGCGGGCGGGGCGGAGCGGGG